CTGTGGTTGCTCAGTGAGGAGAACACTTGAGTCCCTTTGGAGAATTCTGCTAAGTCACATGCACTTACAGGACTGTCGGGATCCCACGAGACTGGCAAAAATGCTCTTTCTCTAGGCAAAGTCTTTCATAACTCAATCTGACTTCAGTAACAGAGTGGGTTCACCCTTCCTTGGCCCTGTAGAAAATTCACAGATGCTTGAGATAAATCCTCTTATCAAGAAATTCTCAAGTTGCTTTGTTTAATAATAATAATAATAATAATAAAATAACGATGATGGCAGCAATACAGCAAGGCTTAGTAAGCTGCAGTAAAAAATCACTTTGAATGGTGAAGGAAGATTTCACAGGCAAGCTGAGACTTAGGGCAAATCTGAAGGGTCTATCTGTAGATAGGAGGCATTACAGACAAGGGGGCAAATGTGCCATCATTTGTGGGGCTGGATTTGTACGTGGCATGTCAGTGTTAGGAAAACTACAGGGAGGAGGGTTTTGACTGGAAAGTATAAGGGATTGGAGTCTCAACACCAAGCCTGTGTAGATCCTCAGAGAGGGGCCCTTTTGGCTTTTGCATTTGTTTGAACAGTCTGAAATAAGTTAGCAAACTGTTCCTGAAATAGATCCTCCTTTGCTTGAGGGAAAAAATGGTATGAGCTGGCACTTTCTGCCCTTTGTCATTAGTGTGAAATAACAATGCCAGAGAGAGTAGCCTTTCAAGACTTCATGAAGACTTTTTTTTTTAATATTCCTTTTCTTATTCTTTTTCACCTCCAAGGTCAGTGTGGGTGAACCTAAGGCATGTGTCCCACAGCTGGCTATTTGTTATTATTGAAAGTCTGAGAGGTTCGCAGTCACTGTCCTAGGTGGTTGGCAGTTTTCCTGCCCGTTATAGCATCAGTAGCACTGTGGATGTACGCTCCTCTGTCTACCTAGTCTTGCAGTCGGGAGACTCCACTCTGTCAAAACCAACTGACAAAAGGTTCCACTACAGAAATGAGGAGATTTCTGGTAGAGAAGGAGGTGGGTTGACCAGTCTCTCTTCTCTCCTCCAAACGATTTCCACCTGTGGACGTGAGTCTGCACATTTTGGGGGAGTCAGATCCCTGCTGTCAAGGAGTGCTCTACAAATTTGTTAATGACACACTCACAGGGGCAATCTTCTTGTTTCTAAATAAAAACTAACAACTTTTTACATTTTATTTTTATTTCTTTGATTTTGTGAGACAGGATCTCGCTATGTAGTTTAGCCTGGCCTTGAACTCACTATGTAGCCCAGGCTGGCCTGAAACTCATGGCGATCCTCCTGCCTCAGCCTCCCTGAGTGCTGGTGCATGCCACCACACAAGCTATTTCTTTTTTTAGTATTTGAATGTTTTAGTGCAATAGAAAGAGCATGGGCTTTTTGGTTGAATAGGGTTGGTTTTGATCCCTATTTCTGGCACTTGCTAGATGTGAGACTGTGAATCATTTGCTCAGTGTTCTGATTCTTAGGGTTTTCTGCCCTATAAGGGAGAATATTAAAATGCAATTCACACATTGGTACACATATATGGTTTAATAAGGTTGACACGTGATCAGTGGTTGGAGCATAGTAGACATTTAATACAAGATAATTCAATTCTCTTTACTTCTTCTTGGAGTAAACAGATCTCCAGAGTGTAAAGAAAGAACCCAAGAAATAGAGAGAAGAAGAATTACTCCTACATAGGGACCACACTTAAAATTTCCACATTAGACAGTTGTTTATAACTCTGTAGCTATTAGGTTCATACTTTCTTGGAATTTTCATTATCACTTTAGGAGGCTATATTCCAGAATGAGAAAAAGACTTTCCTTGATGAAAATTGACTTTATGAATTCCAAATAACAGTAATTAATAATAAGACAATGGAGGGGTTTTTTTTGTTAAAGATACACAGGTGTATACTCCTCTACCAAGATACCCATGATAGGATTTGTTGAGTTGAGAACAGGAACACAATCAACAAGATATGCTCCTTTAACTGACTTTCTTTTCCCTCCAAGATCACTTTTTTTTTTCAAGATCACTTTTAATATAAAGTAAGGTGTTTGAACAAGTTCAAATTGATTTGATTTGTAACAGAAGGTAGTTGTAAGCAAGAACTGAAAAAGTTATTCTTACAGTTTTAAGACAACGTGGTCCAAATATTTGGCTTAAACACCACTACCGTCTTTTGAGTTACATCATTTGATCTGATTTTTCTAACCATGGGCTATCGTAGTTCAGTTTGGTGTTGAGTGATTTTGTAAATCATCTTCATGACCCAGTCCCTCTGTTCTTCCCAAGAATGTGGCTTTGATGATCAAGCAACAGTTATAACATGTTTTCTCTTATCACATGTACATCCAAAGTTATAAAATCTCAATGTTGCACAAGCTCAGAGTTTTACCAAGTATATTGTGTTGGCTTAGACAGATTGTGTTGATTCTGTCAGCCTTTTCTGTGCTAGACTGAGAAGAAAGAAAAGTCTCCCCAAGATGTGATTCCATAACCTTTCTTTCACAACAAAATTCGTCTTGTTTCTGCTTCATGGAATCAAGGAAGCAGGTCTGGTGTCCTTCCTGAGGGCATTCGGGGAGTGGCAAGCTGGCCTGCCATCCTAGCTTGTAGTTAATGGGTGCTGAGGAGCAGAGCCAGAGTGGATAGATGTAATCCACAGGTGCAGTTGGTCACTAGGTGCTCAGGTAGATATCTTAGAGTTCAAAAATCAGAGTAGAGGCAGTGTCATCAGCAAAGCCACATCTACCTTAGTGAGAGGGAAAGGAGACAGTAATCCTGCAGTACTGGCGCTGGCTCTTACTGGTTCACCAGAGCCAGTGCTACATTTCTCTTCACAACTCCGTGTTCAGTGAGATCACATTGGGAACTTGAAATTGGCCATTGTGGGAGTAGTTTCTACCATAGAAATTGGCAAATGCTCCACATTTATAACTTTATTGTAAGATTTATAACTTCCTATTAGACAAGTAGAAATAATTATTTTATTGGTAATCAAATAGAAGTTCTAAGGACAGTAAATTATATTGTTTAAAATTGTAATTGGATGCTTAGCAGGTAATCATTTTTAATTATTTGGTAATTTATATGTCAAGTTCAGTAATTTAACCTCCAATTTATGTGCATACCAGTGTGGGGAACAAATATAAGATAGGCTTCCCAATTATTTCTCTTAAGAATCAGGTATAGGTTACAGATAAGTAAATCCCTGGCACTCCTATTAAATGTCTCATGGTGTTTGTTCACAGATCAGCAGATGACCTAATTAAGGCCATACAGTGCTTATAAAAATATGCAAATCAAGACAAGAATATGAATCAGAGAACTTAGTATTGATCTGAGTAGGTTTGTCTCTAGTTTTTGAATATCTACCTAATACAAAATTGTTTAAGGCAGCATTTCTTAAATTTCTTTTACTTTAGCAAACCTCAAAAAACAAACAAACAAAGCAAAAACCCAAACTAGAACATCCCTACTGTTTCACAGCTAGCCAAAGCCAATTCTTCAAAGTATAATTGTTAGAATTATTGGGTTGAATAGGAGCTGTTTTTGTTAAAAATAAATTTTATTTTTAAATCACAAGTTATTAATTTATGTTAGAGACAAGAGAATGTATTCGGTCATTTATGAAAACATAGAAACTTTATATCTTAATCTTTTTTTTTTTCTGGTACCAAGGATTGAACTCAGGACCGCACAATTGCGAGGCAGGCACAATGCCACTGAGCTACATCTCTGTCCCCTAAAACATACCTACTTTAAAAATATTTGCCTAACATCAGAATGGGAAGCCTTGGGGCTTATAAATTTTATCTTTCCATAGACAAGTACTGCAGCCTGGGTCATATAGGAGGTAAAGTGCTTGTTTAACAGACTAGGAGGAGAATGACTCGATGTTAATCCTGGCAACTGATCCTAAAAGTAGCAGATTTCTCCACCATTCATTCATCAGTTTAGAAATATTTATTAAGCATTTTTATATAAAGGCACTGCCTTCATGTAATTTACCAGTAAGAACAGCTGCTGACATTCTGCAGGGAAGAGGTGCTCAGGAGGAGAGTGTGAGTTAACCGAAGACTGGTTGCTGGGAACATTTGAGCTCTCCAAACTGCCTCAGGTTCCCTCTCAGCTGTGGTCCTGCCACATCTGACATTAGTACTCCTTCCTTGTTTGTAGAAGTGGATTTAATAGTCCTGTGGTTGCTCTAAGCAAGGTAATGAGGTACTAGAGGGAAGAGTGGAATAATATGTGGAAGTTAAGTCTTCTCTGAGAGATTCCTTGATGCACTAACTCCTTAGTCTCCCAATGAATACTACCATTTTAATGTTTAATAGAGAAAAATGCCTGGGGGTGGGTAGGAGATTACTTTCATTTGTAAAATATATACTGCCATCATCAGTTTCTGAGGAAATAGAAAGAGTAAGGATCACTGAGGGAAGGCAGGGACTCAAAGTCAGCAGGTATGAAAAATAATCCTGATGAAATGCTAAAGGGTGCATATAACTTCCATTGGATATCTGCATTACAGTTTTCATTTTAGTGATTTAAATATGCCAGAATGAGCTGGGCACCATGGTGTATACTTGCAATCCCAGCACTCTGGGAGGTTAAGGCAGAAAGATTGCCAAGTTCAAGCCTAGTCTGGGCAACTTAGTGACTCAGCAAGACCCTGTATCAAAGTAAAAACTACCAAAAAGGCTGGGAATTTAGCTCAGTGGGAAGGTCCTGAGTTCAAACCCTAGTACTGGAAAGAACAAAAACAAGCAGAATGAGCTAAACTGGGTGGAATCTCAAATCACATTCTTTTTGGGGATAAAAATTGCCACATGGTCTAGTATGGGAGTATGAACAGGAATCCTGGGTGAGGAATCTGTGTCACTTATTTGTTTCCCATTAAAAATTTATTTACACAGGCTTTCTTCTCCCTTTCTCCATTTCTCTTTGTTTCTGATATTTCTTGCTGGATTCTTCCTTCTTTCCCAGGTGTGTTTGATAACTGCTCCCACACGGTCAATGACAAGGGCTGGGCCCTGGGCATCCGCTCAGGGAAAGACAAGGGAAGGCGAGATGCTCGCTTCTTTTTCTCCCTCCGAACTGACCGCATGAAGAAAGCCACCACTATGACTGGCCATAGTCACTACCAAGCAGGCACATGGACACATGTGGCAGCCACTTATGATGGACGGCGCATGGCCCTGTATGTGGATGGCACTCAAGTGGCTAGTAGCCCAGGCCAGTCTGGTCCCCTGAACAGTCCTTTCATGGCATCCTGCCGCTCCTTGCTCTTGGGTGGGGATAGCTCTGAGAATGGGCACTATTTCCGTGGACACCTGGGCACACTGGCCTTCTGGTCTACTGCCCTCTCACAAAGCCACCTCCAGCACAGTTTCCAGCATGGAAGCGGGGCAGAGGAGCTGGCCACCCTGGTCTTAACAGCCAGTTTTGATCCTTTGAAGGAACAGTGGACACCCTTCAAGGATGAGAAGTATCCCCGGCTTGAGGTTCTCCAGGGCTCTGGGCCAAAACCTGAGATCCTGTCACCACTGCAGCCCCCACTTTGTGGGCAGACAGTTTGTGACAATGTGGACCTGATCTCTCAGTACAACAGGCACTGGCCCCTTCGGGGAGAGAAGGTGATCCGCTACCAGGTGGTGAATGTCTGTGATGATGAGGGCCTGCACCCCACGGTGAGCGAGGAGCAGATCCAGCGGCAGCACGAGGCCCTGAATGAGGCCTTCAGCCGCTACAACATCAGCTGGCAGCTGAGCATCCGCCGGGTCCTCAACTCCACCCTGCGTCACCGGGTTGTGCTTGTGAACTGTGAGCCCAGCAAGATTGGAAACGACCACTGTGACCCAGAGTGTGAGCACCCTCTCACGGGCTATGATGGGGGTGATTGTCGCCTTCAGGGCCGCTGCTACTCCTGGAACCGCAGGGATGGGATTTGTCATGCCTCGTGCAACAACATGCTGAACGACTTCGATGACGGGGACTGCTGTGACCCAGAGGTGGCGGATGTGCGCAAGACCTGCTTTGACCCTGACTCCCCCAAGAGGTAAGAAATTGAGCTTTATGACAGCCTACTTGTAGGGTATGTTTCTAGCATTGTTTTATCCTTTTTTAGCTTCTGGATTTTGAAAAACAGAAACTTCACTAACAGCAGAGGTTAGCAACTCTTAGGATCCCTAGGAGAGATGGGGAAGGTCTGGCCTATTCTCCTTTGTCTTCAGGCTCATCATTACACCAACCCACTGTCCTGACAGTGACCCCATTGGGTTAGTCAGCTTTCTGTTACTATAATGAAATACCTGAGATAATTGTCTTGTAAAGAGAAATGGTTATTTTGGCTCACTTCTGGAAATCTAGTACAAGATTCAGTGGCCCCATTGCTTTAGGTCTCTAAGGAAGCAGCACATCGTGGCAGGAGTATGTAGTGAAGAAAACTGTTCACCTCATGAGTCAGGAATGTAGAAAGGAGGAAGAGGCTAGGGTCCTATAATCTCACTGGAAGTCATCCCCATGACCTTAGGATCTCCTGTCCCACTTCCTAAAGGTTCCAGTGCTTCCCTATTATACCATTCTGGGGATCCACCCTTTAACACATGATCCTTCAGGGGACACTTGTCTAAACCAGAGCAGCAATCTTTCAAGGTACTCAGGCATCATTCTTCTTACAGTGGCCCTTTATTCCTCTAAACTCCTACTGCTCTGCCCTTATCAGAGTACAGCCTCCGAGGTGCTGTATATTTCATACGGTTATATCAATAAACCCAGAAGTGTTGTGCACCACTAATCACAGGCACTTTATTTCCTCTATGTAGAATACCATTCTGGAATTACAGAAAATAGTTACTCTTCTTTTTTCTTTTTGGTGGTGCTGGAGATTGAAGCTAAGGCTGTGTGCATGCTACGTACTGCTCTTCCACTAAGCTACACCCCAGCCCCAAATAGTTATGCTTTGGGATTGTTAAAAAATTTAAATCAGAGTAATAAATGCTCAGAGTTAAAACTATAAGATTGTAACAAAATACATAAGGAAAAACAACAATCTCCTGTCTAATTCTTCCCCATTCTTCTCCATTCTCTATCCTTGCTACCCATAAGTAACTATATTTAATTCTTTTACCTACGTTTTCTGGTAATTTTGCTTGTTTCATCAATTTTAAATATTGCTCATTGATTTGCTCTAATAATAGAGATGAGGCTTACAATCATACATTTACTCCCCCTTCTCAGCTTTCCAACACAATTATTTTACTATTTTTATTTATTTTACTATTTTTAGTTACAGTTGTTCCTTGGACTCCTATAAAATTGGTTGCAGCATCCCTCAGAATACTAGAATCTGCAGATGCTCAGGTCTCTTGTATAAAAGACATATGACTTGAAAATAATCTACACACATTTTCCTATATACTTTAAATCATTTCTAGGTTACTGTACTTACAAAACCAAGTGCAATGCAAATATATTATATTATAGAAATAACGAGAAGGAAAAATCCCATATACATTCAATATAGATGCAGTATTTTTGGATTATTTTTGATCCAACATCGGTTAAATCCACAGACACGGAACACATGGATATGAAGAACACCTGTATGTGTATTTATAACATTATGACTGTGAAGGATTATTCGTTGCAGAACAAAATGTTATTATATTATTATATTTCCTTTCTTGCCTCTACCCTTCCCCTACCTCATCACTTGAGTATCTATTTCCTCTTGGCCTTCTTTTCTTCCTATCTTCTTTTCCTCTCTTCTTCTTTTGTTCTTTCTTGATTTCTTCCTGTAAGTTAATGTATAGATTATACTTTTAGGGTTTCCCTTTCCTGCACACTTGTGTTTTAGTTCATTCTAGCCTCCTCCTCCAACATTCACCAGTTATATTTAGGTCTGTTAAACAGTTGTCACTCTAAGAGTTCACTGCTTTTTTGGAATCACTGTGTCCCCATCTACATGAATATCTCTTAATTTATTATCTTATTTTACTGGAAAACATCCTTAAGTAACTTTCCAACAAAAGATTTTTTTAGGCAACATTTTCTGAAAATGATTTCTCAGAATGTTTTAATTCTACCTTTATACAAAACAGATAAGTTGTCTTTGTCTAAAATTTTGAAGAAATTTTTTAATTGCCTCTAGTTTCTAGTCTGATAATTGTCTGTTTATATCTATCTATCTATCTATCTATCTATCTATCTATCTATGTATCTATCTATTTTAAAATCATTTAGAATATTATCCTAAGCTTATCACATTAGGAATTTTATGATGACTTTTCTTAGGGATGGTCTTTTTTGTTGTGTATTATTTTACTGTGGATCCTTTCAATTTGAACATTCATGGCCCTTATCTCTGGGAAATTTTCTTAAGCTATTACTTTGATATTTCTTCATTCACTTTTCCCTGCTCTCTTTTTCTCTCCCCAAGACACCTGGGGATGTATCTTCAGAATTTTTCTGCCGACTTTTTTTTCTCTACGTGCCATCTTTTTTATTATTTTGTTCTGTTGTTTGAGATTTCCTTAATTATAGTTTCTAATTATTTATTGACTTTTTAATTTTAGTAAACATATTCTAAGATCTTTTTATTATTTAATTTTTCATTATTAATCTGTTTTTATCATAAGGATGTAATATATTTTGAGAATAAAGACAAGATTTTTTTAAAAAATGTTTTTTAAATTCTCATGTATCTTTCATGCTGGTGAATTTTCTGAAATACCTAGTGCTTATTTACAACATGAACCACACTTTAAAATTTTTATTTATAAGGATCCAAAAAAGAATAATTATTTCTGAATTTTCTCTTCAGACAGAAGTCTGAAGGTAGAAACACAGTAGAGGGGAGATGTCTTTCTGTCTCAACTCCTCATATTTATTTCATGTATAGAGTTTTTTGTCATCTCATAGCTTCTGCCTCACATCGTTTGTGCTTAAATTTTGTAATTAAAAATATCAATTTTTATAATTCTAATTTGCAATAATGGTAGTTTTAAAACTATTATTTACAAGTCAGATATGGTAAGCTAAGCAGAAGGACAAATAGAATAATATAAAGGGTAAGTGCTAGTAACTTTGTGGAGGAATTTAAGAATTTGATCTATATTTCCTGGATTTAAATCCAGACTGAAGCATGAAGGGCAGAAAGTGGGTTTTGGTTTTCTGTGCCATGGCTTGAATTGTTTCAAAAGACTTTGGATTCATAGAGACATAGACCTGTGGGTTCCTATGAGGTCCTGCAACTTGGAGTTAGAGGCCATCTCTGAACTGAGTTGCCCATATATGGCATCCATATTGTTAGAATTAAATCACAGAGCTCAAGCTCACAATTCTATTAGACTGTGACTCCGGAGGGCTCCAGCTCTAACAAATGCTCTGCTTGATATTTATGGAGCAAATAGAGTGTCAGGCAACAAAGTCCTTCCACACAGAAGCTCCCTGTTGGGTAGTGGGTAGTGGATAGTGGGAAGTGGGGAAGAGATCAATACATAGATTACTAACATGTTAAATATTACTGATCTGTGAATAATTCTGCTCAATTTCCCAATCCAACTCAATTTCCCAACCACTCCCAAAGAGAAACCAGAAATCTAGCCCAAAGAAGTTCCTCCCCAAAAGGCTGAGAGAGAGAGCCCGTGCAATCCAGCATCAAACATCTGCAACCCAGATGGACCTATCAAAGTGAGAGTATTTATCAGGCTTCAGACTGGTCAGAGGAGATATGAATTATAGATACATTGCCCAGCCAGTTGAACAGAATTACCAAGACAGAACTTGGCTTGTGGCTAGGAAAAGCTACATAAGCCAGATGTCTGTTTCTACATACTAGCTGCCCTGAGAAAAAGTCCACAGGAGTTGAAGAAGAAAGGAGGATGAGTGTCCACTTCAGGGAAATGGCAAATGTCATTCACCATTCCCTATAGTGCATCCCAGTGAGCCAAGGCAAGGGAATCTCCATGGCCTAAAGTGAACTTGGCTTCCCTTTAAGGCCTAATCATCATTTGATCATTGGTTCAGTTATTTTTCTCTTTAAAGTTATGCCACAAAGATAGTGTTCTTTGCTGCTGCACCTATTTTCCATCCTTTGCTTTTTCTCCTTTTCACAAGAGTTCAGCTAAGTATCCAAACAAATTTGGAACTATGTTATGTGATTGTCTCTCTGGTTTGCTTTCTGTATTTCAGATTTCATAATACTGCTGATGAGGAGCAAAATCACCAGATAAAAACAAATGGCTGAGCACAGTTTAACCAAGTCATCTTTTATCTAGCATCAGCATATGCTATGAAGCAGTTAGTGGGATACTGTATGTCTATTTTCGGAAGCTTATGATGGCCAGGATTTCTTTGTATTCCTGTTAGTTCTCTGCTCATTCCCTCAATTTTCTTGGTGGAGGCTCAAGGGCAGAGGACCATTATACATGGCATGCTAGTACATGGCCTTCTTCTCTTGAAAGAGTCCTCCAAGAACATGGGCTAGGAGGTGCCTTGCAGGGCCAAGGCGAGAGAGATCTGTGGCTGTGCCCTAGAAGGGGTGTATCTTGGGACGGGAGGGCAGATACATGTGACATTGCAGGGAACAGGTAGAGAACCTGGTGCTACACAGAGCTGGACGCTGGGGATTAGCTGCTCTTTGCTCACCCACACTCTGTGGCTGTTGGGCCAAAGAGACGGTGGGGCGGGCTGATCTAGTGGTAGGTCTGTTAAACATCAGCCAGGCTTCATTCTAGGTTTCTTTTGAAGTAAAGATTCAAAGTTCCCTTAAGCCAAAAAACAAAAAAAAAACCCAACACATGCCTTGGGGAAAATAAGCGTAAGGGGTAGAAGAGGGCAGGAAGAGAAGAAAGGGAGGAGAAACTTCGAACAGGAACAGCAAGAAAAATCTCTCAGTCCCTCAACTTGAGTAAGCTCAGTGTGCAAACTCTAAGGGCACAAGTCTCCCTTTCTCCTACGCATGTCATCTGGCAGAGAGCAGGAGGGAAGAAACAAGAGACGACTTCTAGATAAACTAGGAAAGTTTCCCTAATAATATAAATGTCTGCTGTTTAT